CAGTTTCAATTACAAATAATATGAGAGCTATATATCAGCAGCCATTTAATAAACAAATATTTTGTACTTTTGTTGGTTCACGATTGGGCATAAAAATAGATTTCTCATAAGATATATTTTTTTTTTCAACGGACCATCGTATTTGATAAGGTATCAAAACAATAATATGTAACTGGATGTCTGATAAATTATCAGTGATAATACTCATTGCCCAACTAATACGAGTATGTGTAATTTAATGTTAAAAGTTATAATCTATAGTATTCTATAGTAGATTTTACGCATCCGTGACCTATTATGTATATTTTATTTTTATTATATAATATTTTTTAATTATAATATTTTTAATTTTAGCAATTTGAAACAGACGATAATGATTTGATACTGACTTCTGTTTCGTTAAAATATTATTCTATGTATATTGTATACTTACATTCACATTTTTCATTAATATTTTATATACCTGCTATATGCATATATATTGTATAATATACGCATATCTAATGTTTACATACTGGATGCCCTTAATAGATATTGTTTATTTTGTGTATTTATTTAATTATCACGTAATCGCGATAAAAATAAAATTATGTTTAAAACACCACGGGTAAATTACACCTAGTAAAACAATAATGATCATCGTATGACCATGATTATTTACCCAGCAATGCAAATCAATGTCGGAAGTTTGGGTGATAGTAAGGAAGGTATAATATCAGTAGCAAAACTATATAAGTAGCTTTATTACTATATAATATAATATTATATTATATTTATTTATAATATTATAAATTTATATTATAATAATATAAATAATATTTATATTTATAATATTATATTTTATAATATTTTATTATATTACTATATCAGTAGCTATATTTTCGGTAATACATTTCTACATAGATACAGTTTAACTTCGTCTAAGATCTGTTGGCAGCCAGTCTGGTAAAATTTAAATGAAACTAAAAAGTATATACGTATATATTTCCGCAACAAGACGAAAGTCCATGGACCAAATTTAAGTTCGTGGTTAAAAAAAGTTACAAGTCAACAACTATAATGTAAGACATTTTTACAATAAGCCATTTTAATAAAATTAACATTTTTTTTTTCAACATACAACCAAACAGATAAGTATCATTACAGATTAATGATTATGTAAATTGTATAACTAGTAAAGCCATGGAATTAACGAAGAAAAAAATTATAAATGTAGTTATAGCGATGGTGAAGAATATCGAAGTAATATATATATATTAAATATGATAAGAATGTGTAATATTTAATCATCTAATACAGTAGTTTCCAATCTTTCGTGATCGTGATTTTAAAATATAATTTTTTAGGATCAAAATTGAAAATATGACTTTTATTTATTCACGTTAAGATAATAATAATATATAAAAAAACAATAAAAATTATATTATTTACCTACCCCAATTGTTTATGATATTCATAACAATTGTTTTTACTAGATATTTATTGTTATTTATTAGGAAGATTTTTTTTTGAAAATTTAATAGTAGTCATATTGAATAATATCTAAAATTTAAATTATACATTATTGATCTTATATGGGTATTGGAATATTGGATTACGACCTAAGTTTGGAAGCACTGATCTAATAGATTATGACATGATTTAATGACGTATAATTATTGTATAAATATATTTATAAGTATCTATCAAGGGCGCCCATATGGGGGGGCAAGGGAGGGACATGTCCCCCCCCTGGAAAATGTAGAAAATATTGGAAAATTGTTTACTGTGGTCAGAATCTATTTATTTAGAAAAAAATTAATTAAATATTAAAATAAATGAAAATCTATAATTAATTGTTTATGGAAAATAGGTTTATTTACTGTGGCAAATCAAGTTATCAGCTATAAATAACAACAATAAATAAACAATGTTCATTAGATATTATTATAATATATATTTTGTCATGAGTTCGGACGGTTTACTGCTCGCGAAATAAACATTCATGTTTAAATTTAGACGCGCCATACGTACTGGTTTCACTGTTCGTCGCCGTCGTCGTGTACCGCTTCATGAATTTACTTATAATACTGTAGTGTGGCCCGACCCTTACATTTTATAGTAAAAAATAGAAAAGTGAAAACTATTCAGTATTTCAGTCGTTACACTTTTGTTGTGTCAAGTGTTATATTACTTAAATATATTTAATAATAACATAATGAGTACTATTAATAAATTAAAAAAGTATGTATTTACTCCGAAACGTCAAAACCCAGAGCCAGAAACAAGTTCTTCACCCATGTATGAAAGTAAGTTTTCAAAAGTAATCCTTATTAGTTATTATTAAATCATCAGAGTCAACGATCAAATCATAATTGTTCATCAAATGATTCTATCAAAGATTATTACAGAGTATCTATATATATACCATATTTAGACTCTATTATTAGTTCGTTAAATAATAGATTTAATGAAAACAATGAGACTCCATTTAAATTATGTTGGTTGCTTCCAAATGAAATGATTAAACTACAAAAAAATGAATATTTGAACATACTTCAAGATATTGAAAATCATTTTAAAATACCTAATATAAAAGTTAATGGTTTAATTTGGTATAATTATTGGCAATTAAAATCACAATCATTTATAAATGATACAATGGAAGATTATAAAAAATTATTGGTGGAGTGTGAATTTTTTCCTGCCGTCAAGAAATGTATAATGATCTATATTACATTACCACCTACAACATGCACTGTAGAACGATCATTTAGTACGTTACGAAGAGTAAAAACATGGACGAGATCTACAATGAGTGAAGATAGACTTGACGGGTTATGTATGATAAGTGTACACAGGGAAAAAATTAATGATAAAAAGAATGAATATATAGAAGAAGTAATAAACATATTTGGTATTAAAAAAAGAAATTTACAATTTTTATTTGTAAATTAATATTTTAATAAATATAATTAATTGTTTTCAGTGTCCAATTTATGTTTTTAATTAAATAAAAATTCGATTAATTACTTTTATGGTTAATTGGTTAAATAATTATCATTTCATAATCTTCCAGTTTGATTTACATAATATAATGTAATAGCATAATAATTAGCAGTAGACCTCTTCCTATCTCCTATTCCTATTCCTATTTATAAATGTATTGATAAATTAAGATTTTGTCCCCCCTTGAGAATTTACCTATGGGCGCCCTTGGTATCTATAGAGAGTTTTCATATTGCAATTTGCCATTATATCATACGCGATGTCCGTGAATTTATAAATTCTACTTTTTATGTCTCAGTTGATAGGCATCTTAAGCGCTGTGTAATCTTACCTACTGAAAAATTCAAATAAATGTTGTATAATACATAAGAGCAGATATCGAGAGAGAATAGAGAAATTTACATAGTAAATAGTCACGCGATTTATATGAACAAGGTTTGCCAAATAAACAGCTTCGGGCAGCATAATTTGTTTTATGTATAATATTATTATGTATTAATATGATTTATCATAATATTTAAAACCCACGTATCTCTTTGCTGATTATACTATCTGCAGTATAAGAACGACGTCATTTTAGAGACAAGAATTTTCACACACGAAAACGATAGTAATCAACAGGAAAGATATTCCAAGTTTCACAAAATAGGCACTACTTCTAGCATAAAAATAATTACTAATAATATTTTAATTATATTTGATAATATAAAATGATAGTGATTGTATTTTATGACCAAAAAATTATAGGCAGATAATTTTGAGTATAAATAATTGTCTAATTATCTTAGTTAGTCACGCTAAATGGAAAAATAAAAAAATGATTTGTGGACATTTTTTAAAATATAATAATACTTAACAGACAATATTATTTGGAACGACCGTTTCCGGTGCGCAGTTCAAAACGAATCAAATATAATGTATACAATTTATTATGTCATACTGAATTTGTTTACGACACTATGTTATAATATGTGTTTTTACTTTTTATTATGTTATCATTAATTTATCATTATAATACTCACTTAAACAAGATATCTGTTAACTCTGTGAATGTTGAGCTAAATGTAAGTTGTAATAATATTTTTAAGACGTTATCACTTTTCAGTTATCGCGTGGGATCCAGATAATATTAAATAGGTACCTTATATGTATAAAGTGATTCACCAAGCAAATGTATTTACTTTGAAAGATGTTTATCCAAATTCTTTTTTTTTTTGTATAGCTGCTATATATTTTTAAATCGATATAGGTAGATAAATTGTTTGTAATGGGTTTGGCTTGAGATCAGTGGGCAGTGGCAGCGTGAATTTTTTTATTTTTAGAGGCAAATAAAAATTCTAAAGGTCAACCGCCTCTAAATTTTATAATATTAACCCCTATGTAATAATATATTATATTTTATAGCTGAGGGGTTTCACCATCCGATTAGTTATGACTTATGAGGCTATAGACTCATGTAATACCTTATCATAACAACTGCTACTGGTTAAAACTTTGGAAACTTACTATATTTTAAGTCTAATTTTGCACCTACGTAATTAAAATTGGCATCGACAGAAATGCAAAATAAAATTTACCAAATAACCAATTAAAAAGTCTTTTGGTTCAGTAAATAGGCTTAAGTGGATAACGTAAATAAGAGAGTTAAAAATACACAATTTATTATTTTAAGGATCTTCACGCTTGACTTATAACACATTATATTATATTTTTGTACAAATATAAGTAATTTTACACTACTTTAGCTGTACAATAAATAGCTAGTAATCCATTTGGCAATCGAACATTTATAGAGGGTCGGTGCTGTCAATCATACGTAATAAAATTATATTATGTACTTACAAGAAAAATAACAAAAATCTAAAAATCTCTATATTAATCGAAGATCACCACTCCCACCTCCCACGATTGACGTCTCCTTCTCCCCTCGCAGAGAACCAGTGTCAAGGCTTAGCTCTCTCTTTCGAATCCATTCTCACTGTCACTGTTTTCCTCCGCTCGAACTACCGTAGTATATTATGTAGCAGTGGATTTACGACGGTAACCGGCTACTCAACGCATCGACCGTATTTTATTATTATTATTATTATTATTATTATTATATACCAATATAATATCTTGTGCAGACATTTTTACCATCGTCCATCCGGTTCAGTGGCCATTTCTCCTTCCGAGCGTGCGTGTATTTGCCAATCGGTTTATACCTACACTGTAGTGGAATCGATCGTCCGCGGAGCGCACGTTTACTTCTATTTCAAATTGACCGTCGAAAGACTAACATTATAAAACACATACGACAGTGCGAAATAATAAAATATCATGCACAGTAAAATTTTCCACCATGGATGTCGCAAGTGGTTAGCATATTAGCATTTTTGATACGTATTATAATATAATATCAATATTTATTCGATATTTCTTTAACTTAAATCGTGTCATCTACGTATTTCCTTAAACGCGTTGGTGTAAAAAAACGTTTTAAAATAATTGTTTCGGTAGTGTGATACAAAAATACAAAGAGAAACTCGCACGCATTTTGCACGCAACGAGGACCGAGGGTCGTCTCTGACGCAACATGGATATCCAATTCGAAGACTTAACGTACGAGGTGAAGCCACCGTTTTGGAATACCAAAGGTTAGTACGATATTGTTGTTAGATTTTTTTTTTTCTCTCGCGTGTATTACATAGTCTGAACTGGCCAAAAAGAGGCCAATCGGTGTTATTATGTAACTTATTATATATAATACTAAAATGAACTAAAAAATGTATGTGTGTGTTCGTCTAAATAACATTTAACAAATAAAAATATGGTAAATATTTATTCTATGAGGCATAAAATAATATGCGCTTAAAAATAACACTGAGATAAGTTGTCTTTATAGCATTATGATTTTCAATAAAAATTAATTATTAACTATTAAAATAATAAAACGGTAACAATATAATATATAATTGACAACAATTGTCAACTATACACTCATACTAATTATTCATATAATATGAGAATATTCGGAATCAAGTGTTACCAAAATACAGTCTATAAACGCTTATAACATAACTAATAAACTTATAACTTAAAACCAATCTAAAAATCAAATTATGGTTTTGAATTATGCTAAAATTTTAAGTACCTACTTATAGATATGATACTATGATAACTTGTTGTTCAAAGAATACCTGTTGCTATCTGATATTTTAAATCAGAATGTTCATTGAATCATACCTATCAACATAATTTATAGATTTCAAATACTAATAATTAATAAATATTTTTATTTTTATATAATAATACTTATCTATATAATATACTTAGCAAGTTGTAAATACGCACTAGGTACTATACATGATATAGCATTGCATAAAATAACCTACCGCAAAACGTGCTTCGTTCCACGTAAATTAAATCGACAATGAAACGTGTATTCTTTTTAATTTAAAAAAAGTAAATAGGTTTATCAATGCTAGGCTATAGATATAAAACTATTAACAATACGAATTGTGTATTACATACATTCTGTTACTTCAATAGTTATTTTATTATTATTATTATAATATTGTGTGAACATCACAATAATATTTGAAAAAAAGTGATTTGTCTCATTGTTTATCATAACTCATAAGTTATGCAGTATTTTTGGGTGATTTAGTTATGGGTGTCAATCATTGGTACAATACATAACGTGCTGACAAGACAGTTAGAATTACTCGTGATATAAGATATTTACATCATTTTAGCTCTTCCCCCCCCCCCCCCCCCCCCCCCCCCCCCCCCCCCCCCCCCCCAAAATTTTTTAAAGTCCATACAGATATGTTGATTAAATGTGTTTATCTGTATAGATACATAATATTGCTAACTCTATTTTTCTTTTACAATTTTCAAGATTCAAGTTTCCTTAATTTAAAGGCCTATGTGTGTACATATATCGTAGATACACTATAATAAAGGAAATAGTGTAGGTGTAAGTAATTATTAACTGTAATAAAAATTTTAAAGTTTGAACTATTTAAATACGATCTTAATGTATAGAAAAAAGAATGAAATAGTGCAACTTAAATATGGTACGGTATTAATTCTTAAAATGTAAGAAAATATTATAGCAGATGTTACTAAATGTATTCGAATACAAACACAAGTCGTGCGAATTCTCTCGTCCGCATTTTTGCATTTAAATTACTTTATAATATAATTACTTATATAATATTATAAGTAGAAGCATTTTGCGCCATCACATTATATCGGCGTATTGTTACTTGTTTATACATATATAATAAATAATCGTGCAAGGTGTATAATATATGCAGATCTCGATAAATCTTGCCTTGACGATTATGAATAAATCATTATACAATATTAGTGTTAATTTCTGTAAGTAATTTGAAAAATTATTATTTCACATGACACTATGCATTAATTATTTTTTTTACAAAAATTTTATTCAACTGTAGACAGCTGTCACTCAACCTATAGTAAGTGTCTACTACGTTTAAACAAGTCATTCGATGTTAAAATGTAAATACAGACGTGTTATTAAAACTAAATTAATATCCAATTTATTGTAAGAATACTCGTATAGTTTAGTTTCATACACTTTTTTAAATAGTTACATTTATTATATTAGCTGAGAACAAAATATCTCAAAACATTCTTTTTTCATTAATATTTTTTAAATTGTAAAGAAATGTTTACATTATTTATAAATAGACCGTAATACTTTATACTTGTTTTATACATCATATTAATTTTAGATATTTAAGATATTTTAATTGTGTTTAATTTTATTAATGATTACAATTTACATTGTACACTAAATTAGAATAAAAGTAGATACACAAATCATAAAAAATAGTTGGAGTGATTAAAGTATTAAGAATTTTATCTATGTAATATTATCGTTTAACCTTCAGTGTTCAATTTTTTTTAATTTTTATATTTTTCTTTAAATGTATTTAAATTTTGAGCTATGATGGTTTATGCAGTTTGATAAATATGTGGTTTATGTTTAATACTCTAGCGCTATTAAAAACAATACAATTATACATTTAGATTTACTAATCGAAAAACAAGTACTGATTTTTGTATTAAAAATAATGTACGCGTGGAGTTAGAGTATAAAGACTAAAGTAGAAGATGTTCAACTTTCGTCTAGGTGACATTCAACACTCATACTCGTATTTTATTCATATTATGCAGTAGTCAGTATCTATCTACACGTTATACACGGGCTATACGTAAAAAGCATATTTTCTTCGTAATTATTCGGTATTATACTAAAAACTAAATTATTACATTCTTCTTTTAATATTATTCATATATTCTTTTAAATTAAAATGAGTATAATAACATTAAAAACGTAAAAAAAACGACCATAAATTGTGTGAGCCCGACTCTCCTCGTCGTCGGCCAATTATTACATGCGCGTCATTTTAACAGCGAACGTATACACAAAGAGATATTATCAAAATATAATATAATATAATAAAATATTATGTATCTAATATTCTCATATAAAATACATAATCAAATTTACAGTTTACAATTTACATAGTGGATTATGGATTTAATTGCAGACTGTTGATATGTAGGTACGCTGCGGTGGTCATGACAACAATGATCCATATCGATTTAAATTTAATAACCTAACCATAAGTGTGATTAGTATAATAGTTTTAATAATAAAATTAATAACATAATATTATATTTCTTTATACATAAGGGATATTTGCTAACACAAACTATATATTTTTAACCATTGTCCAAATATTCCAATTATTATTCCGGGATAGACATGATAATAATATTTAGATATTTATATGGATAGTATACATCTGAAGTAATTGAAAAGTGAAAACAGTATAGATAGTAAGTACAAGCATGATCGGAGATGAAGTAAAATTTATAGGAAAGACTTGATTTTATTTAATATAATATATTAAGTACCGATTTAAATAGGCATCAAATACCTATACCAGTAATAATTTTTTATCAATGTTTTAAATATTTTAATAACTTTTATTATAGTTATTACTTATTAATTATTTCGCAATACATTTCGAAGATTCTAAGAATATATCAAAGTAGAATTTAATTTATAAACTATTTAAAAACAATAATAAATTGTTCCAACATTACCTACTACCTATTATAAAATATTATGTCCATCATACTTTTTGTGAATGAAAAATGTACTGACATTGCAATGAATTTTTTGAAATTAGTCACAACAGTAAATTGTATAATAAAAGTAATAATATTATTGTAATGAAAATTTTCACGAACAATTTTCGTTTAAATACTAAAAACAATATTCGTTATACTACACAAGAGATTTTGTTGGATAATCCTTGTCGATATTATCTAGTAACTAGTACATACAACGCTTTTTCATCTTTACATTGTCTAATGCGTTTACGAAATAGACTACGATAAACTTGTAAGAGCTTCATAATCATAAGCGTTATGTTTATATAGTATTAATATTTGCATTTAAAACATCGTTTGTTTACTTCATATCGTAATAAGAAAGCCGAGAATAAGTTTTTATTGTTTACATCGTGAGCTCGACGAATACACGAGGTATAGGTTATAGGCCATATTATACCATCGTGATAAAATTACAAGGCAGACGACTGTATAATTGTATAAACTATTAGACATGAAAGTGAGAGTTTCTTCTTTTATCCTTGTATAATAATCATATGACTTAAAGTTAAACGTAAGGTTCATTATATTTTATTTTCTTTAAACTAGTTTAACCTGTTACGGCCCATACTATGATTTCGCATTCTTTTACTTTTATATAGGTATATATCTATAGGACCTAGGTACTTATAACAATACACGATGATGTATTAATGTACTATAGGTAATACGTGTAATATTCCGGAATCATAAAATTATTATCGTTATTTTAAAACGTTTTCGTTGAACGGATGAAACTATTCGATTACGTGTTTTGACTGAATATGTCGGGAAATATAAATTATGTAGTAAGTTATTATAAATACCACATCACTATAATATAGGGTATACTATATATATGGTTGCATTTAGTCATTCATCATTCATGGATTATAAGCTTATCAATTATTTTCAATTATAAGTTGAGTATAACAAAATTAAATAAATAGTTTTCTAAAAGATATTTAGTATTATTCTGTATTAAATCACTAGTATCTTGTATCTATATAGTATTTACTATTTAGCGCATAATAGATTTTTTCAAAAATATATAATAATATTGACCCTTTTTCCATGAGTCTGTATATTGTACAACTGCGGTAAAAATATAAAATATTTCCAAATGGGCACATGTTTTCAAATATTTCAACATAATAAATTCATTAATATAATACTTTTTATACTTATACGAAATATTATGAATGAAATGATATTCATATTACCGTCAAGTAAGTGCCACTAATGGGTGGCTTCTTCCTCAAGCAATCCATGTTTTTTTTTATTACTCTTATCTTATACACTTATTGTGCAAAATGTATAGATTGTGTATGTGCATAGGTAAAATAAAAAAAAAAAAAAAAAAAATAAAAAAATATTTCCGTCAGATTTGTTTAATATACATAATTAATTAATTAATTTTTATGAAACTATTGTTAAGAATCCCTTAGTTAGTAAT